TGACTTTGTTCAACGTAATAACTCTAATGCGTATAGGAAAGAGGGTAGGTTTAGTTTGTACAGTGGAAAATCCAGAGATTGGTGTGTGTTAGGCCTCGGAAACACATTCAGGATCCGACCTAAATGATCTGATTGACGTCAACTTCGGGTCCGAAAGAAGCGTTCCACAGACTGTAGACCGGTCCTGCGACTAACGCTAGAAGCCAGGCACAACAAACCAGAGACCAAACTAGTAAGGCGCTATGACAACATCAAGCAGGACGAACTGGTCAGAGCGGCACAGGATGTAAATTGGGTACCCAACCCAGCCGACACACCTCTGGAGACCAAATGGAGATGGGACTACTGCTACTCACGGACCGGCTTNTTAAGAAAAGAAAACAACATCCTTGGTGGAAGGAAAAAATAGATAGGGCTATAACCATTCACAGACGACGGTGGGCAGTCTATAAACTGAATGGCACCCATCAGTCGTGGAACGACTACAAACAGGCGCGTAACAACGCACAGAAAGTGCGAAGGGAAGCTAAGTGCCACTTCGAGAGGAAATTGATGCAAAACGTCAAGTGGAATCCCAAGTGTTCCTACGCATATGTCCAATCTAAGCGAAACACTCGATAAACGGTTGGTACTTTAGAATCGTCGACCGGAGAAATAGCAGTGAGTGACGGCTATAGGGCACCTATGCTGTTACAGTTCTTCAAAAGCACATACAGAATCCCCAGGGTGACAAATAATCTTCCATCAATAGGAGGTCACTGCACCATGTCACCAATTACTGTGGAATTTAAGGGAAGTGCAGTGTGAGTTGACAGGGCTCAAAAGGTTCAAGGCAGCGGTTGTACAACCGATCTTCGAGTCATTCAAGGAGTCGCTTAGATTGGGAGCTGTCCCGGACGACTGGCACAAGGCCATAGTAGTGACAATACACAGGTCTGGATCCCGGCAAAAAGCCGAGAATTACAGACCAGTAAGCTTGGCGTCAGCAGTATGTAAGTGTTTGAGACGGCTAGTTAGAAGGCAAACATGCCACTGCATAGTCAATAGCGGACTATTGGTACCAGCTCTGCACGGATTTGTTAAAAAAAGGTCTTGTCTGACAAACCTGCTGGTGTTTCCAGACGAGGTCACATGTAGACTAGATGGGGGCCTACCGATGGAAGTTTGCTATCTGGACTTCCCGAAATCAGTTGACTCGGTCAGCCACCATCTGTTAGATGATAAGATGAAGTATTGGGAACAGTTGGGCAAGTCAGGAGTTGGATAATGGGCTTTCTAGCGCCGCGGACGTTTAGTATCAAAGTAGGGGCTCACATCCGAAGAGGAGGTAATTACAAGGATCGGTACTTGGACCACTGTTGTTCCTGCTTTACATTAACGACCTAAAACGAGATCTCAAAGATCCCTGTATTCTTTTTGCAGGTGACGTTAAGATAACTGGATGGGACCTAGTAAGTGATATAAAGGTAGTCAAAAGATAGGTCGAATAGTGGGACCTACAACTGAACGTCTCGAAAGGTCAGATATTGAAGAAGAGATAGAAAGGGATCTGCCAATACAAAGGGTGCGCGAGGCAAAGGACCTAGGCATAGTGGTAACGTGGGACCTAAACGAAGTATCCAGTGTGTGAAGGCCGCAAACAATGTCAGGGGACAGCTGTTCCGTCTATGGGGGACCATGACGTGCAGAAAACCCGAGGTGTTTGTCCCACTAAACAAATGCATCGCCCGCCCGAGTCTGGAATATTGTGTGCAAGCATGGGCACCGATAAGTCGGAGAGATTTCAACGTCTAGCCACGAGGATGAAAGCTAGGCAAAGGGGGGAAGCTATGAACAGTGGCTCAGGGATTTAAATCTGTTCTCCCTCAAATGGAAGTGTTTTAAGCCGGCGCCAGAGTCCGCCGATGTTTTTATCGATATTTGCATAGCTTTCTTGATTTCCTCTAAACTTGTCGCTGGGATCGTACTCGGTCGATTGTCCACCGCACTTGAACAGTGCAACTCTGGAGCACCGAAATTCTGCTCTCTGATTCACCATCTCTGTCTTCCTCGATTTGAAAGCGCCTTTCGATTCAGTCGACCGCTCTAAACTCTGGAGCTACTCTTCCCCGAAGGGTGTGACAGAGAATTTTATTTCAATACTACGATCCCTGTATACTAATAGCCGAAGCCAAGTCCGAGTTTACGGCACTTATTCACCCGAGTTCACCACGGAAAGTGGTGCTCATCAGGGTTGCCCTCTCTCTCCTTTCCTATTTAACTTTGTGACAGATTTGATTATGGAAACAGCCCTATTCTCATGCGTGGATAGCGACATCGATTTTCTCCCAAGTGACAGACTGTCTGATCTGGAGTATTCAGACGAAATTGTGGTGCTAAGTGAAGATCCAGATAAATTACAAGCTTTTGTGGATAGCTTGAGAGCCAGCGTAGCCATGTTCGGTATGCGTTTGCATCTTCGAAACATAAAATGTCGCTACATGACTTGGTTAGTTCAGTACCTTGTCACTCTAACTGGAGAAGTAATGGACCGAGTGAACAAGTTTTTTATGTGGGTAGTTATATCTCAGCTGGCGGAGGCATAACGAATGAAGTGTCAACTTGCATACAGAAGGCTCGGTTGGCATCTGCCAACTTGACACATACGTAGCACCACCGCGACATCCAGCTGTCTGTTAAGGGTCGAGTGTGCGCTGCAGCAGTTCGGCCAGTTGTGCTATAAGGTGTAGAAACCCGGCGATAAGGAAACGGTAAAGAAAAATTGCCGGTCTTTGAACACAGCTGTCTACGCAGCATTGCACGAATCTGGTGGGGCAAGCGGACGAGCAATGCTGAGGTTCGGCACAAAGTTTTAGGTATTCGACCACTGGTGAAAATGGTCAATTCCCATAGATCACAATAGTTGGGACATGTATTGCGCATGTCACCAAATAGGTTTCCACGGCGCGCAATGTTTGCTGACGCAGGCAGAAGGTGGAACAAAGCCAGGGGTGGCCAAAATAAGATCTGGTATGAGGGTATGAGACTCAGTCTCATCGGTCGCGTTAGGCTT